ACAGTAAGATAGGCTTTCAAATTTAAAGTGATGAGAGCTTTTTCTTTATTTCCACCTTGTGCTGTTTACTAATGGTCATGGGATGACATTCTGAGTAATTTCCATGAAAAGCAACTTAACAGGAAATAAATACTAATCAAAAATGAATAATACTTATACTAAGAAGAAAAAGTGACTATCAAAACACATTTGTATAAAAGGCTCTTTAGTGATTTAAAGTATGGTGTTGCTTAAAAAATGTTTGACTAAGGTTCTCCAGCTAAGGGGATATGAGTTCAAGTCTCACTGAGAACTTATTAGTGAAGTCACTTGCTTTTAATGTAACAGGAAAATAAATCTTGATGACTAATAACATGTACAAATATGTTTCATACATAATGGAAATCAATTATGTCAGTTGATATTAGATTTAACATATATCTTTCAAGTTCTACAAGAGTGAGATACCTTACCGGCTAAGAAGTGAAGATGAATTCATCTTTTTATTATTTCTAACTGAATATGTCTTAGCTTACAGATTCATAAAAACACTTCAGATGTCAATGCTCCAATATTGTGAAAATTATAAAGCTATTATAAATGTCAAAATAATAGTATTTTCATTATTTGTAAATATGTCTAGAGTTGTGATTCTCTTTTTTAGAATGAATTGTTTGAAATTATTAAAAGCTTTTAGAACAAAGCCTATAATTTTATAACGTTACCAAATTCTCTTAATGTGGTTATCGATAGATGAAGCAGCACTGTTGAATGTGTACAGAAATTCTGTTCACTGTCAACCTTTTGTCCTCTTATAGATGCCAAATAGCCTTCTTATCTTCCTAGTGGAGCTTAGGATTTTGTTTTTCTTGTACAGATAATTCTTCAGTTATATTATTATGCTGAAGTTTTCATGTCTGGATGTCACCACCAAACTTAGTCATGGTGAGTGGGGCAGTTTTTTACCAGGATAAAAGCAAGACCTCAAGTAATGACATGAGATTTGTAAAGCTGATCCTAGGTCATTTTAGTAGAACTAAGCATTGGCAGCTAATCTCATCTAAATACAGTAGTGACTCTACATTAAATTACAAAATGCTTCTTTAATTCTAACTTTTATTGAGTAGATGAAATGAGATCTTACCTTTGAGCCCACTGAAGGTCATTTTTACAAAGACCATTGACCTTGAAGAACAGCTATAACATCATTTACCCTTACCATTTTCTATAATTTCTCAAAATTTAATATATATATATATATATATATATATATATATATAAATCAAGATTTAAAATAAAATTGGTTTCTTGTTTTTCTTTCCCTAATAATACCAGGCACTTCTGCCAGTAGTCAAATATATGATGTGGCAATAATCTCTGATCCTCATCTATTGCCAAACAGTCTATCAGAATGTTTAATCTGAAATACAAGTATGTTATACTTTCTTGGGTATAAGAGACTGTTTTTTTCTTTCCATTCACCACTAACTAGTTGTGGGTTTGACAATAATCTATATCCAGCAGAAAAGGTCTCTGATCAGGAGATTGGAGGTTTTGAAGAGCATAGAACCACCTTTTAATTGCTGTTGTTCCCAGGGTGGTAGCACCTGTTAGTGTCTCAGCTATGGAAAATAGTGAACCTCAAAACAAAAAAGAAAATATTATGAAAATAAAATACCAGCAATACATTTTTTATATTAAAAAATTACCAACAATACCTATTAATATTAAAATTACCATCAATACATTTTACAGTAAAATGACTAACTATACATCTTATCTGTAGTTGAAGGCATACAATTGTGTTCAAAATATATTTAGTTGAAGCCATAAAATTATGTTTAGATTTTGGCATTAAATAATCCATGGAGGTTGATATGCTGCAAAACAAAATCAACCAACCATTCACCACTAACAGCAGTTTTATTACTAATTTTTTTCTGTAAATATTTATGGTTTTCAATATAAGTGCTGATCTTTAACTTGCTTTCCTTATGATATATTAAGTTGAAAATTTTTATTTATATAAATTCATAGCATCTTTATTCATTCATCAGTAACTTTTTATCCTAGCTTTCTATGACCTAAAGAATATTTTACATAAAATTAAAAAAATGTGTGATACTTTTAAAAAAAATATTCTCTTTTCAGTGTTAGAATATCTCACTTTTAATGCATACTGACAAGACAGCCTTCACAATACAATCAAAATCTTTTTGAATGATGTTAGCTAAAAAATAAACTTTCCTCATGACATTAAACAAAAGCAAGACAAGCTTTGGCCAACCCAATTTATAGCTAGAATATTTTCCTTAGAGATATCAGCCATATTTGAACAATTATATCTCTTTCACTTTTATTTCCTTTTCTGTTAACTTTGATAATTTTATTGAGTGGGATTGGCTTTCTGATTTGATTGTTACAAAATGTCAAGAAAGATTTTTTTTTTAAATGGCATGGCCTCTTATCTTTTAAACACATTCTTTTGTCTTTTTCTGTTTCATGTCATTTACATTTGATAAGAATTTTCATTTTAGCTATTCTTGGCTTCTGTGTCTAGTCCATTTATTTATTTATTTTTAAGGTTTACTTAAGCAGCCAACTTCTATCTTCAATTTCAATATATTAATAAAAAGTATACATTTTAAATTTCTCACAATGCAAATATGCCTTATTCAAAAGTTATGACAGCAATGCTACCATCTTTTCAATATGTCAAGAAATAACAAAAACTCACATAGACCAAAACATTTTACTAAAGAGCTATTTATTTAAATCAAGAATTCAACATAAAGCATTGGAATAAATATTTGGTATTTAAAGTGTGTTATCAGCAGGTAGATTTTTTTCAAGTAATTATTAGCAATTTTACTGACATTGATAGTGAATTTTTAAAATATTTATTTTCTTTCATTTTGGAATGGCTGTTAATATTGTTAGAATTTAAATAGTCATATCCAGAACAAATCAAAACAACTAATGTAGAAGTAACAAAAAAATGCTTCTATTGTCACATAATAGTTGTATTTACATAAACATTTCATGCATTAACTGTAGCAACTATTATAGTGGCGCTATATGTTAAAACGTGTTTTCTTTTTTGTTCTCTCTTCATATTTCATATCAAATTTAAGAAAAAAAAAAAAAGTCTCTAGTCGTTATTTTATTACCTTAGTACATACTGGGCATTACATTTTATCAGTATGACTGAGTGCGGGGTGGGGGTGGGTATGTGGTCTGGGCAGCACACAATCTCCATATACCATCAATCCTGTCTTACCACCAAAGAGTGAATTTTGACCAGACAGTGGACTCTCTTGTGAGAGAAATGCCTACTGCATACTGAGAAATTATAAGTTTGTCATTAATCATGAAAAGGTATCTTAATTTTTTTTTATATAGCATAAACACTGAATTAAATTTTACAAAAACATTATCAAGTCAATAAGTTTCTAATTTCATCTGTGATGCTTATCTCTCAATATCTTTTTTATCTATCAAAATAGAAACTAAACAGTTAAGTTTTTCTGTAACATGGATGAAAATATATTTTCCAATTTGTGTTAATAAATAAATAGCTTCATCATTAAGCCTATAAACTAATGATGTTAAAAAATAATTTATTCTAATATAATCTCCTTTTTTGTCAGTGCACTTAATCCAACATTTTTCCATTAATCATATAGATTGAACATTTTATAGTGAAAATTTCAAATAAAAATTTCATTAATAACTGTCTAGCTACATAGTTATTGATTCAACCTCATAATTGACTAAACTTGCAGTTTATTTTTAAGTGATAATGACAATATTCAAGGTCTTGGTGCTGAGAGGAACAATAACATTATTACAAGAAAAAAAATCTTTTGTTGCTAAAAATTTTAGGTATTTTGTGTGTTATAGTTTAATTAAAGTTAATTTAGAAGCAAAATACAAATATTGTTTTAAAATTAAAAAATAGTTCAGCACATATCAGGACTATGACTTTGACAATAAAAACATATATAAAGCATCCAGTGAACTTCAGTGATGAGAAACATCAACATTCAAAGGGTATTTGTCTCTGTTTTTCAAAGTACTAAGTTACATTGAGTGGGGCACTACAACCACCTTGTTGGAGGTGGTTAGACAATTTGAAATAAGGAAACCTCATTCATCTTTCTTTCTCTCTCCTTTGTATATGAAGTGAGAGCTTTCAGTTGCAGAAGTCAATGTTGTATATTTTACTATACCTAACCACTAGACAGAAGATTGCAGTAGATTTCAGTATACTACATTCTGTGCTTCCTATTTGTTTGTCAATGATAAAGATATAGACAAGAACAAGTTCTTTATTGACATATTGAAAGGAATAAGCAACTTTGCCTTCCTTAAATGCTTATGGCAGTCTGTTACATTACCATTATTTCTAATTTTTATCATAACAAATGTCTAATATTGTAAAGTATTAGGGAACCTTTTTTGTTATTTTCATATCTGGGGGTGTAGTTTTGTCATCAGGTTAGTAAGAACTTTATTTAAAAAAAAAAACAATTTTCTTTTCATTGTCATTCAGTTGGCAGTGTCTTTTTTATGACAGTAGCAGGCTGTTCTAAGATGTTTATGAAGCTGGAAGAGAAAAGAAACAATTTCATTATAGAGCTGATTACAACAATGATAATTGAAAAATATATTTAAAGTCTTGTCTGTGTAAAAAAAAACAACAAAAAAAGAAACTCATAATAAAAGTTTAACAAAATATGCTGTAATTTTGGATGGTATGGGTAAATTAGCTTGTTTATAAAATGCTAAAACTTCATTTTCGTTATAGTAACTTAAAGAATTATAATCCAGAATTCTATGTCATATATTCAACAAAAGTAATTATTTACTAAACTTTTGATCACATACTTCTGATAATTCCAAGTTGCTATATTAATAGGATGTGTGGATGACTAATACCATTTCTGTTGTCAGTGATGTGTGTGCCTATAAATCATATGATGTGCTGCTGTCTGACTTGTAATTTGTATGAATTGCAGCAATATCAGGATTCTATCAAATTATACAAAGCTGGTAAACCTGTCAACTTTGATGAACTGCCCACACCTCCAGGTATCTTTATTCAGTTTTTCCTTCCATGAATATATAATTCCAACATTTATTTCTCTGACTTTCTATTCCTTGTTGCTTTGAGATTTTTACTTCAAAAGTTTCTTGAAATAATGAAACCTTTTTTCTTTAGCTCCCTTTTCAGATTTGAATTCAGATTATTGAAGTATTATTTCACAGTAATTTGCCTACTAATTAATCTTGTATTGAGTGCAAAAAATAGTGTTTTAGTTTAAGACAATTTTTTCTTTTTTTTACATTAACTTTATTAAACAACAATTAACTTTTTGTTTCACTATCTTCTTTAAGGCAACTACAATTTCATCCTTCCAGATTTTTTATTTTTATTTTTTTGAGTGAAGACCTATACTCTGTGTCTTTTTGCTGTCTTTCAAGGAATAGGAATTTTTTTTTTTATTGCAGTCATTTTGTACAAATCAATGGAAGGCATTCACAAAATTATTAACCAGTAAAGTCCGTTTTCAAAAAAAATATGATTCAAGAAAACTGGTGGCAGGATGATCAAAGCAACAAAACTGTTTGAAAAGTTAAATGAGAATTTCAAGGGTCTGATAGAAAAACTCATTTGCAGTCATTCTATAAAACTGTTAATATATTCAATAGGAAACTGCTGTAGATGAAAATAATGTTTTAAAAAGAGATTATAGCTGTCTGTTCCTTTTATGTATATTCAAATATACACCTATAACCTATTTTGATTACCAGTACATCTGGATACTAATCACCATTATCACCAACATTTCTTGTTTGCAATGTTTGTTGTTGTTAGACTACTTGCTGGGGGAATATTTACCTATTTCAGCTAGAAAACAAGAATATAACTTCGGTACCTTCATGAGATCACTAAAAAAGAGCATAGCATGATGAAAAAGATGCCAAACTTGACGAAAACAAAACTTTATCATGTAAATGTTTGTTATTATTAAGAGGAAAATCAAAGTATTTTTTGGGTATTTTTGTAAATTTTTTAATCGTTCCTAGCATGTTCGACATTTTCGTTAAAAAATCTTATTTTTTTTGAGTCAGAAAAATTGGCAATCAATCATGTCAAACATTTTTTTTTTTCCATTTTGTAAAAAAAATGAAAATCTCAGTTTGAAATTCTTTTAAAAATCAATTATAATTTTTTTCAAAACTTATTTTAAGAAAATCAGAAATTATAATGTTTATTTAAAATATTTAGAAACAAGCTTAACTTAGTTTCTGTGTCGAAAAGATGTAGTTTGAAAATAAAACAAAGCAGGTCATAACATTTCACATCACTTGACAGGTGACGAAAGACATTTTCATGACGTATTGATAGCTTACGTGAGGATAATTTATTCTACGGAAGGAGAGAAATGAAATTATTTAGATTTAAGTGAACAAATTATTTACCTCATTATTTTTAAGGAAAACTTTCAGTGCTCTATTTTTTTATTTTTTTTTGTACTTAGCTTTCACCTTTATGTTTACGATGCTTTATGGAAAATATATTATAAAGAAATTAAAATAAGACTTGAGAGTGAGATTAAATTTCATAAAATTGAAATAAGATGACTCACTGAAAACTGTAAAACAACTTCGCAAAATTGAAATTGCAATGATATATGTAAATGAAATAAATGGTACTTTTAAAAATGTACTAATATTGCTGCTGAAAATGGCTTAGGATGGTGTTCAAATTTTTTTAATTAGTAAAAACACTAATTTAAAATGTTCAACATGTGTTTCTCACAAAGAATTTGCAATAATGAGATGGACGTTCAGCGGAGAACGCTTACACTCAAGTCACGTGACGTTTTATTGCTTGTGACCTTCTGTACTTTTTAATTACAGCCATTTTAACAACTTTTATGAACACAAAATTACATTTCTTAATTACTGCGGGTCTTCTGATTGGTTGAAATTAAACAATTTACATTGCACTAAAAAATGATTTATCTCATAAGGACATTTACAAAAGTGAATGCGGTTTTCAACTAATTTTATAATATTTTAACAACTTAAATGTAAAAATCTAAAATAATTAAAGAGATAAATAATTGCATTAAAAATTCATTTTCCATCGAAAAAATTTTTTGCATTCAGAAAATATTGTCCATATTCATAAAAACAACTAAAAGCATTTGAAATTAAATAATACTTTTGTTTTATTGAATTTTGTATGTTACAATTCAGGGCTGATTTTCAGGTGGGGGTTGTCCAATTAAAAAAAAAAAAACATGATTTGTTTTCCTCAAAGTCTTGTGCTTTTAAGTAATATAATCACTAGACTGAACACGACTGAATTTCTAGAGTTTTCATAAAATTAGTTATGGGGTGGGTAATAAATATAAAAAAAATATATTTTTGCCATGACTTTAATAAAAAAAAACAAACAAAAAAAAAACATATAATAATTTCGATCATCTATGAATAGTTTCTGAAAATTTCATTAACATCCGACAATTATTTTTATTTTTGCAAGATTTTCCAAATTAATGTCTGTCATACAAAAAAAAAAAAAAAACATGCTAAAAATTGTATATGTTATTTTACTAGTTCTCGTGATACAAAGAGAAACAAGGTTTTTTCAATCAAAATTTAGAATGTTCTAAAAAGAAGGAAAAATTTTTAAAAATAATTAAAAAATCTTTGGGCTTTCCTCTTAATAATAACAAACATTTAGACAATAAAATTTTGTTTTTGTCAATTTGGCATCTTTTTCATCATGCTATACTCTTTTTTTTAGCAATCTCATGAATGTACCTAACATAACTGCATAAATACAAAGAATGAATAGAAAATGTGGAAAGTTTGATTTGACTTTAGAATTTTTCCATCAGAAATAGACTAGGGAGTGTTGAAACATTCTCATCAAGACTAAGAAGCTTTTTTAAAAAAAAATAAAAGTTATGATATTTGGTTAGTTTTTGGAAAATGAATTTGGCTAAGATCTTTTTCAGCATTTCTTCTAGATTATAGTTTTATAATTAATGATGTTTATATGGCTTGTCTTGGCTAAATTACATTTCAGAATAATTTTTTTGTGTTTGCTGACAGGTTACCTACTGACAGCTAGTTCCTTGAGTAACCCATTATAATTTGTCAGTTCAAGGGTAATAAAAAAAAAAAAATAAAAAAAATTTCCCTTTTCATTTCCCTTTTTCTGTTTAAAATAGACATTTGTGTTCTCTTGAGTCAAAGAAGATCTGCAGATCATCATAATCGAGATTAATTAAACTAATGAAATGCTTTTATATAACCTTGAAAATAAGTATCACCAAGCCTAAAGCATAAGTCAAGAAAGAGAATTTAGTGTAGAAAACATTGGCTCAATATACATGTTTAAGTATTAAAGCCATACATAAAAAAACAATAGACAGTTAAACAGGCAGTAGATTTATTGGTAGTTTATTGTCAGGATTTTATTTTTTTTGTTCTTACTGATTTAATGTCATGATTTAAAAAGAAACAATGAACAAAACTTACTGAAGCTACAGTTGTAATGATAAAAATACCAATAATACCATATTTAAAACTGAGAGCCATATTATCCACTAGTAAATATGAAATGAGTATTCCACTTAGTTTTTTGAATAACGATCAAAAGCTCTTTTAGATTATAGACATTTAATAATTGTAGAAACAAATGTTATTCACTCTTAACTTATATATATTAAAATATTTCTTGGCTCTATTTGCTATTATTAGACACCCCCACTGTTTGCACTTAGGTAAGTTTTATTGTGTAAAACTGCATTTCTGAATCTTTTCTTGATTGTCATGTATATTAGACACTATGGGCATTTAAAAATTAGCTTTTATTCATATTATAACCAGCTGATATATTGTGTCTTCATTCAGTGTAAATAAGTATTAAATTATTAAGTATATAATTTCTAAGAGTATAAGTTACAAATATGTAAGAATGTTTTGGCAATATTATCTCTTTATGGCATTCATTAGGATAAATATCAGTGCAAATGGAGGTAGGAAGATGGATGCAAGATAATCTAATTTGATGTGACATGCTTCCTTTTGAAAATGAGAATTCTAAATCCTAGGCTTTAACTGGATTCAACCAACAATCTCTTGTACTGATAGGAAATACCACATGGCAAGCCTGTCTCCCCACCCCCAATAAAAAAGAAAGTAACCTGTTGATTGTCTTTTTATAAGAATGTGTACTACTTGCCCTTAAAAATCATGATTTATGCATGTAAGCGATAAATCTTTCTGAATTTTTATTCTCATCTTGGAATTAAGTTATAATTCTTGGTAGGTTTAATAACTCTTCAAATGTTTAAATGATTACTTTGCTTTAATTTACAAGTATTAACCCAATGTGGTTTGAAAGTCAGCCACTAAGCATTTTAAGTGTTCAAGATATCACATCAAGTAATTGCAGATAGATTAGTGTCAGCAGTGACATCAACTTAAGAACCTTTCTGCCAAGTCAATAAAATTAAAAACTGTTAATTGTAAATCCAGAATGAGGCTCTGATTTCTATTCCTAATGAATGAAGGAGTTTTTTTTTTCTCCTTAATGATATGCATATTTCCAATAATAAGTATATCCTTTTTTTCTTTTTTCAGGTTAGTATTTGTTTTTATTCTTTCTTACAAATACTACAATTATGTGTTTCACTTTAATGATTTCATATGGTCATCTTGTCTCACTCATATTTTTCAGAGTGCATGACTAGACCTACATACTATATCTAAACGTGATGAAAGTAACTTTTAAATCAAAAGATATTGAAAATTTATATAGAATTATTAACAATTTTTATATTAATGATATTGATAACTTAATTTTTAGCATGCATAAATAAAAAATCTCTCAATTTTTAACAAAATAGCAGTAATGATAGTTTTATTTGTCTAATATTTAAAGTTATAATTACCAGTTTGTGAATTGAAATATTAACTTAACTGACCAAAATGTTACTTCGTCATAAAAAATATTTTTAAAATGTTAATAGTATGTTTGATTTTTATACTTGAAAACATAATTATGTTGTATAGTTTGTATAATTCACATCACCATATTTGATCATTTACAGTTAATATTATGGTATTATGCAGTTAGGCAGCTATTTCAAAGTTTTGATAGTCTAAGATGTTTGTGGAAACATTAGCCTACCAGATACCTTGACTTTGTTTTTAAGCCCCAGAAATATTTTTTTTAAAGAAAAGTGTGTGTGGGTGGTTATATGCCATCTTACTCTTGCTTTAAATTCATCACCCACAAGTGAAAGTTATTGCATTTGGACAACTAAAATAAGTGAATATATTTTTTAAATCCAAGTATCTACACCAAGTACTTCAAAACTTTGTTAAATATTTTCATCAGTAATTGTTATTCTGCATTATTTTGTATTCTGATCTACTATTTTATTTTATTATTTGTAGGTTTTGGTCCAATTCCCACAAATGATTCAAGTGCACCCCCTACGACAGCCCCTGCTGCAGTTGCTGCTGCTGCTGTTGCTTCACCTGCAGCTCAATCACAGAAGTCTCCAAGGGTTCCACCACAGCCTCAGATGAGGCAGCAGCAGCAGCCACAACCAACAGGTGGGGAACAAATCTCTGAGGGGGAGATCAGAAAACGTGCATGTAAGTGTTTTTGTACTGCTACTAGTTTATGTAATGAATGCAGGCATATCAAACGCCGGTCAACTAAGAGAAGTCTTGTTGCAAAACAATGTAAGTTTTCCTTTTCAATTCTTCCACAACACCAACCTAAAATTGATTTACTTTTTATTACTATAGGAAAGAAAATATTTATTAGTCTGTTTGTCACCCTGTGATTAATGTTGTAAGATGAAACCTCTATCTTACAAAAAATAGAATTGCCTAACTGACATTTAATTTTGTCACTTGTCTTAATAAACTGAACACACTTAACATAATTTTGGGATTATTTTGGTCATTATAAAACACCTAATAGTGGATGTAGGTAGATCAATAAATCTGTTGCCTAATGATGAAAAAAAAAACAACTTTATTTTTCACATAATCTCCTTCCTTGTCAATGCACTTAATCCAATGCTTCTTCATGAATCACATCAATTGAATGTCATATAGTGAAACTTTCAGACAAATTCAGGCCACAGATTTATTGATTATCCTTCTCCTTATATCATGCTTAGAAATTAGCAGTTTGGTGTTGGTAAGACTACCATCTTCCAAAGAAATTTTAGTTACAGCCACTAAGATAACTTTTATGTTAATATCTTTGGAAAACCTAGCCCTCTTTATGCTACATCTCGGTCATCTTGACCACATCATGTGCAGAAAAAGAGTAAGTAAAAGTGATTGTGTGCTCGGTTTCCTTACTAGCAAACATGCATGCCTCAGTTATCTAAATAAGTATTGATAGTATATTCAATAAATCTAAATAAGTATTGATAGTATATTCAATATTAGCCACCCTATCAGGGGGCATTTATGCTAGCTCCTGCAAAGGGCTCTTAATTGGGCTTTCATCACAATAAGTAAGAAGGAGTAGATGTGATAGGCAACAATAAACTACAGAACTCAAAATTGATTTCTGCATTTAAGTATCTCGTTAATATATAAGCTTAACTTTTAAAAGTTAAACGATAATTCTTCTGCCGCCACTTAATTTAAAGACAATTTAGGTCCTTACTTTCTGTACAAACAATTATTTTTATTTTATGGATGACTTTTGCTGGATTTTGTAATTAATTTCAGTTATTCCCAAATTTACTTCCAAGTTATAAAAGTTATCATACAAAAAAAATTAATCACAAAAAAATCACATAAAAAATCTAAAACAATCTCAGTAATGAAAACTTGGGAATCCAAAATTTCAGGATTGTGGGTCTGAATCCAACCTGAAATGTTTTTAATTTGTTTAGAGTTGGCCTGATTCAAAATGGTATGATATGTTGGGCTACAGCCTCTAAGAGTAAAGTTGAAAAAAGTGTGGCACAGTGATATTCATATTTATTATATAGAAGAGATGAGCATATTCCTGTAGTGTTGCATATTTTGTAAGAAATATACTCACTGCATGGAAAATGGCTCTTTGTTCTGGTTTGGTATAAATCAACCAGAAGCTTCACTAAAGATGTTTTCTTGGCAAATAACTGGTAGCACTCTCACAGCTACCTCCTGCCACTTAGTGCAACATTAAGATCTCAGATTATCTTGTAAGAAATAGACATTTATTATCTGTCCTAAATATCCTTGCTAAGTTTATGCAGAAGTTTTAAGAAAGGCTCTAACATAGATTTGAACTATTTCAGTGAAAAAAATTTGTTGTGTGCTTAATATCAAATGGTAATAAATTTAACTGTTTTTGAATTTGCAGCAGAAAGGAATTTGGTCAGGATCAAGAATTCAGCTCCTTTAATTCATTATACCCATGGCAACTTCATACCTAGATAAAATCATTTTTCTCTGTTTTGTTTTAAATTACTAAATTTAATTATATAATGAATGTGAAGAGGGGTGCTTTACTTCTAATTTTGCTTAGAATGTTTTAATATAAAGTGATAAAATAGAAAACTATTTCTATTTAGAAACAAAGAGAAATTAAGTTTTCTCAAAAAATGAAGCTAAAGCAAGACTCCAGTTTGAGTGCATTTTCAAACTTAGGTCATGGAATTAATGATAGTAGTTGCAGGGCATGAAGGAATAACGTGTAGTTAATGAAGGAATGAGGTTTGTAGGGGTTTTGAATTCACTGCAGGTTAAGAACTCTTTGTCGTTTTAATTCTTTTTTGTTCCTGAGGTGAACATGAAAAAATTTGATACTAGACAGAGAAAGAGAGATCTTAAGTTTCTATCAAACTACCTGAAAGTGCATATTTTTTATTGGTTTATATTTTATGGATAGTGCAGATTTTGCTAGCATAAAAATTTACTAAATGCCAGAAACAGTTGTAAAACTGTCTAATGATTTAATCTTCTTTTCATGATAGCCTGTTGTGAAATCTAAAATTAAGCTGCCTTAAATTCAAATATCAGAAGTTATGTAATAGATAACTTACCATGATAGGGTCCATAGTTCCTCACAAAATAACACATTTTGTTACTAGTGTACAGCTTGGTGCAACTAAGTTTGCCAGATCTCATCTGTATCAATCCTCTTGGAGGTGCTTCTGTCTAAGTATGTGGGCATTCCTGTTGCACAGAGTTGTCTACCAAAATCAAATTCATGTGAGTGGCTTTGTCAAACTCTCTTTGATTCGCAGCCATTGCCACCACTGCTACCAAGGGAATAGGGAGAGAGGATGACAATCCTGATGTTTGGATGCAAGTGTATGCAACAACAACGACAAAGGAAATTGATGTTCACACAAAAGCCTAGTTATCTAAAATAATGTAATAATGAGTCCAAAAATAATATTAGTTACTAAACAGAAAATGTAAAATTCTTTCACAATTATCATGAAACTTTGAAAGTCTAACATAAATCTATCAATTTCATTAATTTTGTTATACAGGTACCAGACCATTTGTTCAACTTCTAGAAAATTAGAATTTCCAGAAAACCAGCTATTGTGAAAAGTGATTATTTTTGAATCTTGCAGTTTTGTCAGAATGTCTATGAACTTGTCACAAAACGAATATCCATTGACAAAAAAAAAATCAACTATAATAAAAGATCAAATATTTACTCAGCTTCAAAGAAAAATATACAAAACTAAATAAGAATTAGAGAAAAATTTTATATCAATGTTTTCCATTATATAGAAACTAAATTATTTTTTAAATGTGTTTGTATTTGTACAAAAAAACATATAGAAAATTTTCAGGGCCAAATATGCACTCACATTTGAAATATTTACTGAAAGTTAACTAAATGAAATTTACTAACATTTTCTGTATTTATCAAAAAGAAATGTTACTTTGTAAAAAAGAAAATAAAGTAAAAATTAGTGGAAATATATATAGTGGGATTAATTGTGATAAGCAGTAAAGAATATTCCTGTAAAACAATTTTTAAAACCTGTTGAATGTATAATTGGTTGTTAATATTTGTGGTGAATCAATTCTGAAAAATGTTATTATACAGGGTGTGGTAAATTGTCACCATTTTATATTTTTAATTTGGCACACGTGGATTGTTTTTGATTTTGTCAACTGCACAGTATAGTAGGGTTAGTTGGGCTCATTTCTGTGAGAAAAAGAGCACCATGATGCAATCCACTTTGCCAGAAATTTGGAAATGGCATGTTGTACTGCTTGGCATTCATGCCAGAAGTTCCAATACAAACATTTTAGAGTATTTGGGTGTCAATCTGAGGACAGTGCAGAAGAATCGGAAAGAGTTATAGGAATCTAATGGTGATTATGAAGGTGTTTAATCACTAGTGGTGGTGATGTTATGCTTCCATTCATCTTCCCACAGAGCCTCAGACTCAACACAGAGGCCTACATCAAGTGCCTTGAGGAGCCAGTGCTGCCCTGGGTCAAGTGGGTGGCTGCTGGAAGACCTATGTCTGGCAACAGGACTCTGCACCATGCCACACAAGCAGGAGAACCCAGTCATGGCTGTCAGACAATTTCTGCAACCACATCATGACTTACATCTTGCCACCTAACTCCCCAGACTGCAACCCCCTTGATTATTGTGTATTGGGTGCAGTTGCACAAGAGACTAACAAAACTCCTTGTAACACCAAAGATGAACTGAAGGCAAGGATTATGGCAGCATTCACCAGCTTAAACAAGGAGTCTGTCTAGAAGAGTTGCAGGAAATTCCGAAGTTGTCTGGAGGCTGTGGTTGAATAAATTTACTCCTTTATTGAATAAATTTACTTCTATGTATTTCAAGATATTTTTGTGTAATTTTGGTGAATATGTGGCGGACTTTACCACATTAATTTAACTTTGATAAGAAAACAGGACTCATGGAAGAAGAATAACCACAAGACATTGTTGCACATAAAATATATGTATATTAACAAGATGTACAATATCAAACAACGATGTGAAAGAAAACATGCATTTAAGTAAGAAAGGTTGAATTAATCAAGAGTTGCCTCCCTTTGATTGCTATTTAAGAGTTCAGTGAGAGATAATTATTTGGTTTAAAGTTCACTGGATAAATGTTCATGAGTGTTTCATGATATGATTGTTCTTGTGATATTACTGTTGAAAAGTATTGTTGTGTCAAAAGAAGTTTTTAGTGAAGGTATACAAATTATCATCAGCATGTGGGTGTGTGTGTGTGAATGAGAAGGTTGGCGCATGGTTCCAACTGTCGTGGATTCATTTAGCAGTTGAGGTCTCACTAATTGAGATGAAAAAAAATTTGGCTTAAATAAGTGATTATAGGCTCTGATTCGTTGTGCAGGAAAAATTATTCTTCACATGCAAATGATCTGATTGGTTGGCATCAATCAATCAGCAAGTGAGCTTTGGGAAGACTTAAGGAAGCTTCTGTGAGCTACTTCTCCCACAAGTGCACAAATTTGACTACTTAAAAGATAAAGCGGTTCCAAAATTGTTGCATTACTGCGATTTGTAAATTGCCTGTAGAAAATGTATTAGTGATTTATTAGCCAATGATCGTTTGGCATTGTACATGTGATTTTGTGTTTGTATTTATATGTTTGTGTGTAAATAGGTTTGTACAAATATATGCTAAAATGAGATGTCAGCATTATTTTCAATTTTTGTGTAATTTAGACGACAATTTATCCATCGCACTCTATATTTTGTTGGGGTTTTAAGGAAATTTCTAAACATCAGTCAGCACAATTTTCATTTTTCAAAAAGGAAACAAAAAACAATTACTCAACATAATTATCCATTATTATTTATTACTTTTTCCCATTGTGTAGGCACATCCTAGATTCTTTTATGATAGAATGACATCTGTTTCCAATTGAAAGAAGACCTGCTCTGCTTTTATGACATTCTCCTTTTGAAGGCTCTAATTATTCAGAAGGTTTTGTCAAAAGCTTAAAATCTAGTAGTTTGTTCACTGCCCAATAAGGTTAGTGAAGTAACATTTCCCAGACCAACAGCAACAGTTGTTACAAACTATCTATGCAACAGGTGGTCTTCTATTATTACATTTATTCAGGTATGTTTTCTGCAGTTGTAGGCATTTGGGGAGGATTACTCAAGGTAAACTATGCAGCTGCATGTATTACATCTTGGCAGCAGTAGCCTTGTTTAGATCAAACAGTTTCCTATAATCAATTTCTCATATCCCACTAACAAAGCATAATTCTTTTTTGATAGAAATCTGCTGTGACTCTTGTGATGATACCTTTGGCTGTCCAGCTTTATTTGGGCATCATTTTGATATACAAGCACTATTTTTCATCCTACAACCCTGCTCCAGTAGTCATGTACTTTGAGACCTTTCAGATGTCTTGAATTCAATATACTGGAACTCAGTGTCTCATTACTCATTCATAAGCCAAAAGTTACTTCTCTAAATGATTGGTACAATTAGTAGATCAATTCTGCTTAACTGAAACACATTTGAAAATCATTTAAGGTGATATATTTTCAAGAGCTAATTTTTGTATGGTCTGAATTAAAAAATGGTTTGCAAACTTTTTATACTCATGCTGGAATTTTCTTGCTAATTTAATATGTTAGAATATACATTTTGCAATCAGTATGTGTAAATTGTACAAAAAGACAAAAGGTGGGTAATTGAATGGCAAAACGGAAAAGTTCTGTGTGTCATGTTTTATCCTTCAAAAGGACATCTTCAGACTAAATTGTGTTTTTTAAGTGTAAAGAAAACTAGAAGATCCTAAAAGTTAGAGAAATGAAAGAAAGTTTGTGAGAGTCTTGGTAGGAAATCCAAAATTAATAGCCAAAGAAGCAAGGAATGAATGCAGGCTTAACAGTGAGGTTTCAATTGATAAAGTATGCAGAATATATGAAAAAAGAATTTGAATATGTGTATAGCAACAAAAAAAAAATCATCACTGACCAAACAATACTGGAATAGAAAATTGAAGCGATCAAAAGAACATCTAATATGGGAAGTGATAAAATGTAATGATTTTGTGATGAATGCAAAATAGAATTACATTGTAATGCTATAGGATGTGTAAGAAGACCAGAAGGAGAAAGAAACAATGCAAAACACACCACAAAGGCAGTAAAATTTGGTGGAGGACATGTAAATGGTATAGGATTGTATCAAAAGTGATATTAGAAGAAAATAAACTATAGACTATAAAGATGGAGAAATTTTTCAGAATGACTATGCTCCTTGTCATATATCACATGCAATAAAAAGGTTACTTGTAGATGAAGATGTTTGACTTTTGGAAGACTGGCCAGCATAAAGTCGTGATCTCAATATAATATTGTGGTGGGAACTGAAGAAACAAATACTTCAACGAAAACCACACAATCTCAAGGAGCAACACTTAATTACCTACTCTATACTTTGTCATTTTGTACTTTCTGTAATAATAAAGATCACCTTTTTGCAAAAAAAAAATAAATCATTTTTAACTTAAGACAAAAGCTGGAAGGTAAAATTTTCCATGGTGGCCAAGTATTTTTACTTGACTATGCTTAAGATGCTCTATCATCCACCATACAGCATTAATGAAAATCCAGTAACTTGACCCTCAAAGATCATACTGAAGAAAACATACTGCCAATCACTCTTGATTTTGGAGTAAAATTAACAAGAGTAATTAATTTAACAAGGTGGCCTGGCCCAAATGTTTTGCATGTGAATGTATTCTTTTATTTAAGTTCCTAGAAGCTTCACCTATATATTCCTTGTTTTTATTATTACAGTCTATAGAGTAAATTCCTGTTTCAAATTTTAGGTTATATTATTTTGTATTAATTAAATCAATTTTATAACTAGTTGTAAAAATTTTATATTGAGTGCAAATAATTTCTTTTCAATTGTAATCATTATTGCATTGGTAGGTAGTATTATCTGACTTGTTTTATTATTTATATTTTTATTTTTCTAGTTTTCTAAATCGGGTTTCCTCTTAGGATTGTATTACTTTAAAGTTAAGCTTTCCTGCATTTTCAGGATGTTTAATTATAACTGATATTTGTTTATATTTTCCTTCGCTCCCCCTACATATGATTCCATTAATAAAAACATTTAGTCTTAAGAAGTACTTTTGGAGAACGAAATGTATTACAGAGGATTTTTTCCATTTTGTCATTCAATTAACCAATGTATAGAATTGATATATCACAGAAAGACAACTAATTTTCTTTATTTGTTCCCATTAGTTGCTCGAAGATCCGTTTCTTCACGTCAAGAACAGCAAGTTGTGTTTTTGAAAGAGAGAATGGCTGAATACAGAAATGCAGCCATACAGGCCAAGAAGGAGAACAACATGGAACTGGCAAAAGCCTATCTCCGACAAGCAAAAGTATTGACTTTTTTTTTTCTTCTTTGTATGAAAGAGGAAATAGAGAAAAATTCAGTTTACATAAATAAGGAATTCTTATCTATGAAAGACATTAAATGATTATGTAGTAGAAATTGGTATTGTGGATATGGCAAAAATGACCCTCTGTTGGTAATTTTCAAATAATCTTTAAGTAATATTAGCAATAGTATTTTTTAATGTTTCCAATTATTGTAAAAAATTCTTTTTGTAAAAAAAAAAAAAATTTTCATATATATGAGAGAGTGTATTTAGGTAGCAATTTTTAATTTATACATGTTTGGTTAGAAGACCAATGAAAATTCTTAAGAATTTTTTGTTTAATATTTCTAAATTTCTGACTAGTTTCCTGGTTTCTGCTGAAAATTTTAATATAAATTTTCAAACATCTGGACATTTTTGACTTTATGTATACTTTTGATGGATACTCATATTCAAGTAGAAGCTCTGTTTATCTCAAATATTCAGGCCAGTAGATGTAGTTGGCTAGAAAATAGATTAATTAAAAAAAAAAAAAACAGCTTCTACTTGAATATGAGTATCCATAAAAAATAATGTGTAAAGAAAATAAAATAAAAATATTGGATTTAATGTTAAAATGTTAGCATACAATACAGAGCAGATAAATTAATTTTGTCTATGTCAATGGTTTCTTAATCTTTTTAAGAATAAAAAAACTTCAGACTTGTGACATGAATTTAATTTTAAAAATTATACATTGATACAATTATTGATTCATAATTTTTCTTGTAAAATTTATTGGAAAAATATAATTTGCAATATACACAGGTAACTTCTGAAAATTAGTTTAATATTTTTCATTTAAATTAAAAATAAGTTGAATGTTTATTAATATATTCTATAAGAATGTGAGCAGTAGATCTTCATTTTTATGTTACAATCATATATCTTTATTACTGTTACAAAGATACCATGAAAAATTAAATTGATGTACTGATATTCATAAATTGTATATGGCACCCAATAATAAAAGTAGTAAAAGCAAAATGACGTTACAACTCAAAAACCTTTTATTACAAATTTATTATTGGTTCAGAATAATTAATTTCTATTATCTCTCAACTTTTTTCTCATATTTAATGATACTTTTATTCTTTTCTTATTTATTGATTTCTATTATTATCATTTAAAATATAATAATTCTTAAAATGGTACATTTGATGACAAACTGTTTATTCTTACATCCAGTGTAAAATATATATATGTGTGTGTTAGTTTATGCATGCATGCATATATATATATATATATATATATATATATATATATACACACACACACATACACACACTTCGGGTAGATGGAACTTGCCAGCCCAGATGGGGAGTCCATCTAAGAGAAGGAAAACTCTGAATTTAAACCTTCGCTGCCTTGTGGTCATATCCAATCATGGGAAAGGTTTCAGGGGTAAACCCTGAGGATAAGTCTGGATTTTGAGTCCCTAAGACAAACTCATGTACTGTGTGTGTTAGATATTTGGAAAATTAAAAAAATTTTGAATATTTTATTTTGGGTATCATTTAGGTTTCTTAATGAATATCTTCTATTCTATATTACTTAATTTAATTTTTTTTTCCTCTAGGGATTTGAGCCCATGTTAGAAGCTGCAGAAGGTGGTTTACCAGTGGATCTAACTAAAGTAAGTTATTTTGTTCTCATTAAAATAATTCAGGTTTCTTTATTTCATTATTATTATTATTCACTCTGTAACTGTTATTTTATGCCTTTCTATACAGAAGATTTAAAATTACTTAATTTCTTAAGGATTTTGAAAATATGAGTGCTTATGTAAAACTATATCACTCCTATTTTATTATTTTGAATGCTGCCAATTTTGTGATTTTTATCTGCTAGATAAAAATATTGAGAACAAAGTGGATTATCATGTTGTACAAAAGACTAAATTAATTTCAGAATATTTCAGTTTCTTTCATTTTGTTTAAGCATGCAATTAGATGTAGCTATTTCTATTTAACCCTCTGAACTCTGATCCCCTGATGAATATGATAAGTATGGATTTCCCACTTTGGGCTGTTGCTGTCCAAAACTCCATTCAGTAAACCCTGTGGGGCTTTTAATCCACCCTAGGGAAAGGACAGGAGGTTGATTTACATTCCCATGTTCACAGCTTCCAGATTTACCACACCCTCGAGTTTGAAATTTTAACCATACAATATATGATCTATATTTGCTAATAAATTAAGTGACAAGACAGATTACTTTGAAAAATATATCTATTGTGCAAAATAAGACCTTTTCATTATATCATTCACTTATGGCCCATCCATATTTTTCTAGACTATAAGAGAAGTATTTAAAAAATGCATCTAAATATTGCACTGCATTGCATGTGCTGATATTATGAATAGGTGACCAAGTGGGAGAACATTAGGATTAATTTTAGTGAGCAGATTAAAAAAAGAAATTATTTGTGCAAAACCTCTTTTTGTAAAGTAATGCAAGCATATAACTAGTTGTCATTACTTATTTATTTTTTACCCTATAGTGAATCAAACCAGACTTATTCTGAACAATGATATTTACAAACGAGATTTGAAAGCACTAAGTATATGTATGTTATGACACCAATGCTTACTCATTTACAAAAGAAGTAATATTACTGTAGGTATTTGATTGGGTCATTATTTGTACTATCAGGGTTGGCATTTGTTGGATTAAACCAACTTAGTTATAAAGCCCAATTTATGAAGTATTCAGTCAGGATTGAGTCTGCTAAACATGCCTTTAAAAATGACCTTACTAATTTTTGTTGTATATTCCGTGCTTTTGTTTAATCTAGTCTGACATTTTGCCACAACAATGGAACACTGATAAGAATTGAACTCACTACACTAGGAATGATCTTTGAAATTAATTGTTAAATTGTTGCTTTATGGCATGTGCCTTTATATCTTGTTACCATAAATTTAAAAATATTAATTCAACTAAGTTTTGGTTTTTTACTGTTTATTTTTTAAACTAGTTGATCTATGCTATAAAAAAATGCTAGCATATTTAAATAATTTTGCAATTTTGTTGTACTTACAAAACATCAAAAACTTTATACTGTCCTGCATTTTCTCATATTCAAAACTTCATGAGTATTAAACTAAAAGTAAAATTGAGTAAAGATAACAATTGATTTGGTACATTTGCTATAAATGAAAACAATTGTAATAAATGGAATTAATTTTTAATATATATATATATATTTAAACATCTCTTGAAAAGTTTTATCTATAGAACCAATTACAATTCATATTATTTCTAGTGTAAAAATTTTAGCATTCTTTATGTTATATTTTTAACTTTAGAATAAAAATATAAAAGATAATCTAAAAATAAAATGACAAAATTGTATTTCTACATCATCATTAGAGTCCAATACATGAGTGTATGTTTGTATGTACATATTATCGATATTAACATAAACTTCTCTATTATGTCACCTGAAGAGTCCACTTCATACAATTTGACAGTCTCTGTGTAGTAGAATCTTTTGGTGACTGATAATGCAGAAAAGAAAGTTCCATGCACATGAATTATTTTATATGATTGATTATATAGAGCAAATGGTTCAATACTTTTTTTTTTATATTATAAATCAATGATATTGATTGTTTTATATCTGAATTTGTATGCAAGGTTGTTTCTCAAACGGATGTTTTCTTTCATGTAATTTCCTTTGTGCATTTATCTTGTAAACTTAGCAGCCAAGTTGCTGGAATTAGATTTTTTTTTTTTTAGCTTTCAGTCCACTGTTATGCCACTGATCTTTACAAATGCAAATTCTATTTAAGCTATTGAAGTATTGATTTTGTTTTACTTTCAGGTTCCACCTCCATTGAACATGGATGAAGATTATGAAGACAAATTTGTGTTTGTAAATCCTGAAGACTGCGAAATTTCTGGTGACAGAGATGAAGTGTACCAGAAGTTACAAGAAAGTCTGGTTTCACAGATACAAGTAAATGTTTTAATAGTTTCCTACACATAATCATTGCATTCTTTTTTGAATGTTAAAAAATGTTTTAGTCAATAGTTTTTAAAATTTTTAAATTGTACAGTTTCAAAACAAAAAAATCAAATAATCTTACAAGAAAGTCTGGTTTCACATTTATTTTCTTTTTGAATGTTATCTCTAAAATTATTTTCTTCTCAGTCAATAGCTTTTAAAATCTTGTACAGTTTCAAAACAAAAATATCAAATGATTTGTAGTGTATTTTGGGAATTATAACTTAGTATACATTAAATAATAATCTTAAAACCAAATCATAAAATAAATTGAAATTAGTATATGTATTTATCCACTGTTTACTCCAACATTATTTAAATATTTTTTAAATATTGTACATATTTTTCTCCTGTTAGGTTAGTTATCTCTAGATAAAAATGCGAATATCTGTTGCTTTCTAATGCAAAAAATGTCATGTCAGGTTTCTGAATAAAATGCTATAAAAAGAAAAATTACTTTCTGAATTTTTGGAATGTGGTGTTATCATTATTTATAATATTTATATTCAGATTATTGTCCTCATCTTTGTTGTAGTTATCACAATGTTTCAGCCATTGTTCACTCTAACTTTCATCAGGTGTATATTGATCTGGGTAACCTACAGGGAATTTTGAACTGAATCCTTTATTTAATCTACAGGAGTAGACTGTTCTAGACATGGGCATTGTAACAATAGCAGTCTATCTCCATAAATTAAATAAAGGTTTCAGTTCAGAATTCCCTGTAGGTTACCCAGTTTGATATGCAACTAATGAAGGCTGGAGAGCACAACATCTAAAACGATGTTGTTGTGATGAAATAACCTGACTTCCCCATTCACCATAAATGGACGTTCCGGTGGCCGATAAAGTTCGACCACAGTAAACAGTCCAGGGAGAATCAACAGAACGACAACAGAGAGCGACAACAAAGGTCTTCGTTGACTACACCATTGCGGTTAGCTTACTCCTACTCTGTCTCTGTATTTTGACATTCCGATATAAAGTATTATTATTTAAACCACCACTGGGTTTACTTTGTTATTATATCTTTTTAAGAGATATAACGACTGGCGGCGATATAACAGTTGGCGAACGAGGATTCAAAACTTACACGGAAAAACTTTTAAACGCCTTAACTATAACAGTTGGCTAACGAGGATTCAAACTTACACAAAAAATTTTTTAGTACGCCTAACTATAACAGTTGGCGAAGGATTAATGATTGTGCAACGTACTTAAAAAAAAAAAAAAATATACGCTGAACGGATGTTCGAAAGCGGAGTCACAAGTCAAAAGGAAACTTTTTGAAAAGTAAGAATTTTTACTGTTAAATTGTGATTTGAAAAATATATATTGAACCGCGACTCAAAAACGAGCCGGTCTAACAATAATTATTCAAGTAAAAATTACGGGTTGTAAAAATATTACGGCTGTAAATTGTTTCTTGAGAGTGTTAACTGTCTAAAAAAAAAAAAAAATTTTTTTTTTTTCTGTGTTTTGCCGAATTCTAAAATAAGGATGGAGCAATTAGTCGAAATGACTAAAATGCTGTGTACAAGCTTACAACAGCAACAACAACAGTATCAAGAGTTACAACAACAGCAACAAAAACAGCACCAAGACTTACAACAACAAATATTGCAACAGCAAAAAAGTCTCGAAAAAGTTTTGGAGCAGGCGACTGGAGAAAGAAAAAATACTGTTTTTTTTTCTGCGAAGGAATAACAAATTCATTATCCGAATTTATTTATGATCCTGATTCGGGCATTACATTTCCAGCGTACTTTAAACGTTTGAAACTATATTTACCAAGAGATGTCAACATTGGTCGGATGAGGAACGAGTAACATTACTAGTACAGAAACTAGGGACAAACGAGAATAGGAAGTACTCAAACTTGATACTGCCCAGAAAGCCAGAAGAAGTTTCGTTTGAAGAAACTATAAGTATTCTGTCAAAATATTTTGATGAAAGGAATAGTCTGTTCCACACGCGATACAGATGCCTAAACATCGTTAAAGCAGATAACGAGGATTTTGTGACATACGCGAACAGTAAACTCTCTGGTTGAACAATTCAAGTTAGAAGAAATAACCAAAGATGTATTCAAGTGCCTAATTTTTTCTTCAAGGACTAACTGATCCTAAATATAAAGAAATTAGGTCGAGAATATTAATAATGGTCGAGCAAGACTCGAAAATAACATTACAAAAAGAGTGACCAAGAATGCCAACGTCTCATAAACGTAAAAAGGGACAATATTCAAATTGAGGAGAAAAGTGTTGCTAATGTTCGACACGTAAAAACTCGAAAAACTCCAAACGCCAAAAAGGTACAAAAATGTGAGACGTGTGGAAAAAAAAAGTCATACCAAAGACACGTGTTGGTACAAAAATAAGTTCTGCCAAACGTGTGGAAAAAAAGGTCACACCAAAGACGTATGTTGGTACAAAAATAAATTCTGCGAATCGTGCGGAAATAAAGGGCATAAATATACGGTTTGTCGGAAGAAAAGAAAATTACAAGATGTAAGCCTGGTATTATCAGAAAAAGAAATTCAGAAAGGAAAAAATAGAAAGTACGTAGATGTACGTATAAATAATCATAAAATTACTTTCCTACTGGATTCTGGTTCAGACATAAGCATCATTGACGAACAAACTTGGAAAAAAATTGGAAGACCTAAATTATCTGAAACCAAAAAAACCGCTAGAGGGGTTTCAGGAAAGAAATTAAACTTTAAGGGAGAATTAAAGTGCAATATTTCGTTATGTGGCAAGACTGCAAAAACGAAAGTGTATGTAATCCAAGGGATTAATTCATGTCTTTTGGAATAGACTGGATAGTACTTTTGATTTATTTGAACTCCCGATTAACTCATTTTGCAATGTAATAAACAGTGCCGAAAAACAAAAAATATTAAAATGAAAAATTCATAAATGAATTAAAGGAAGAATATCCCAGAGTTTTTCTGAGGGATTGGGTTTATGTACCAAAACGGAAGTCAAATTTGAACTCAAGGAAAATGTGAAACCAATTTTCAAACCTAAGAGAAACGTCCCGTTTTCCTCCTTAGACACAATTAATAAGGAATTGGAAAGACTTGAAAAAATGGGAGTGATATCTAAAGTTGAACATTCAGATTGGGCCTCACCCACAGTTTATGTTAAAAAGAAAAATGGAAAAATAAGAGTGTGTGTAGATTTTTCAACTGGATTAAATGATTGCCTTAAGAATCACAGTTATCCACTACCTTCACCAGAAGATATTTTTTTCAAAATTAAATGGTGGGAAGATTTTTTCAAAAATCGACCTGTCTGACTGCATACTTGCAGATTAAAGTGAGTGACGAATGCTCGAAATATTTGTGTATAAATACACAAAAGGTATTTATAAGCTAAATAGGCTGCCTTTTCGGTTTAAAAAAATGCCCCAGCTTTGTTTCAACAGGTGATGGACACTATGCTGGCAGGCCTGGAGTTTGGTACCGCCTATTTAGATGACATTCTAGTCAAAAGTAAGAATGTTCAAGAACATAAAACGCACATCAGAGCGATATTCAAAAGACTAGAAGATTTTGGTTTTAAATTAAGCCACGAGAAGTGTAAATTCTTCATGGAAAGAATTACGTTACCTGGACAGGTAATAGACAGTGAAGGCAGGAAAACCGGACCCACAGAGGGCCGATGCAATTAAAAACATGCCTGCACCCGACACAGTTCTTGAAATTACAATCGTTTCTGGGGTTGGCACAATATTATGCAATATACATACCTAAAATGTATGATTTAAGAGCCCCCCCTCAACGAATTGTTAAAAAAGACAAAAAATGGTTTTGGTCAAAAGAGTGCGAGACGGCTTTTCAGAAAATAAAAAATGCCTACTCTCAGATCTCACTTTAGCACATTATGATCCTGAGAAAGAGATCATTCTAGCAACTGACGCAAGTTTATACGGAGTGGGTGCTGCACTGCTACACAAATATGAAGATGGTACTACTAAACCTATCGCAAGACGCGTCAAGGACTCTTCTTCCGGCTGAAAAAAATTATAGCCAGATCGAGAAGGAGGCTTTGTCGATTGTGTTCGGAGTTAAAAAAATACCACCGCTTCTTACATGGTAGATCATTTGTACTGCAAACGGATCATAAACCGTTACTTTCAATATTTGGAAGTAAAAAAAGGCATTCCTACGCATACAGCTAATCGATTACGGCGATGGGGTGTAACCCTACTTAATTACCATTTTAGGATGGAATACGTCAAATCTAAAGAACATGGGCATGCGGATGGATTGTCAAGGCTGATTCCAAAAAATGAAGAATTGTTAGAAGAGACGGTTATAGGAGCATTAACTGAGGAAAAAGAAATCTCAGGTCTCTTATTGAATACAATCAGGGAATTGCCAGTAACATTAGACAAAATAAAAAAAGAAGCGGAAAAAGATCACTATATTGTGAAATTAAAAAACCAGACAAATTGGAACAAAAGACAGAAAAAAGGAACTCAGATTTCACCTTTTTCAATTTGCGACAACACGTTGATGTACGCAGATAGAATTGTCATACCTCAATCTCTACGGACAGATATACTGAAAGAATTTCATACCGGTCATCCTGGAATGTCCCGGATGAAATCACTCATGCGTAGTTACGTATACTGGCCGGGAATGGACAAGGATATCAAAGATTTTGTAAGACTATGTAGAGATTGTCAATTGGCTGCAAGGGCATCTCCGGTCAAAATGAATCCTTGGCCTAAAATGGATTTGCCGTGGGCACGTCTACATATAGACTATGCTGGACCAATCAATGGACACTATTATTTGATATTGGTGGACTCTTTATCGAAATGGCCTGAAGTAGTCAAGTGCAAGCATCCTACATCTAGGAACACCATCAGTGCATTGGATGAAATTTTCAGTCGTTTCGGGTTCCCAGAACATTAGTTAGCGACAATGGTACGGCGTTCACAAGTATGGAATTTAAGGATTTCTGTACCGCCTTAGACATTGAACACATAACTACACCAGTGTGCCATCCCAGGTCGAACGGTCAAGCCGAGAAATTTGTCGACACTTTTAAACGTGCTTTATGTAAAAATAGAGGTATAGACACTGAAGAAAGAACTATTCAAAAGTTTTAGCAATCTATAGGGTAACTCCTAATGAGAACAATAATGCGAAAATGTCACCTCTTGCGGAAATTATGTTCATAAGAAAAAATTAGATCAATTTTCGATAGATTGTTACCCTATCAAAACAAAAAGTTGCTAAAAAAAGACGAAAAAGTCAATATAAAAAAATACACACCAGGAGACAAAGTTTTTTTTAAAAACTTTAAAAGTGGGAAAAAGCTTTTGGATGGATGGCATAATCCAGAAAAGGATTGGTAAAGTGGTCTACATGATTAAAAGTAATAAATTTATGTGTAAAAGACACATTAATCAGATTAGACCACAATATGGTGAAGAAAAAGTGAAGAAATTCTGATGGAAGTGTTATGCGATGCTTTTAACATGACACTACCCAATAGTGTATTGGAACCTGTATGCATGAAACAGCCTTACGGGCTGGAAAGCGGAAATTATCTTCGCCAAAAAGGATCAAATTATGCGACTGAAAGAAGGAGCACACGGCAAAGAAAACCAGTGGAGCGTTTTAGTCCGGATCCAAAAAAGACGATATTAGAAGCAGAAATTTTCAAAAGGAAGAATTTCAGCTTGGGGAAAGTTGTGATGAAATAACCTGACTTCCCCATTCACCATAAAAATGGACGTTCCGGTGGCGATAAAGTTCGACCACAGTAAACAGTCCAGGGAGGATCAACAGAAAGACAACAGAGAGCAACAAAGGTCTTCGTTGACTACACCATTGCGGTTAGCTTTTACTCTGTCTCTGTATTTTTGACATTCCTACATTCCGATATAAAGTATTATTATTTAAACCACCACTTTTTAAAAGGTTAGAATTTTTTTATATAACGTTTGATGTGATCTTTTTCCCCCATGTAAACATATAAATAAGATATAACAGATAGATATAACAGATGTGATAATAACAACAAAAATAAAAACAGTCTGAATGTAAACAGTATAAATAAAGAAAAATTACTTTTATGTAAAAAAACAGGTTTTAAACATTTTAAAAAAAATTTTGTACATAAAGTCAGGGATTGATAAAGTGGAAATATCAGTTGTTCGTTAAAAAAAAAATGATTTAAATGTATTGCAGTTTAAATAATTTTTAATCTTTTTGAACTTCAGTTTTTTTTTTTTTTTCTTGCAAGAAAATTGCACGAGATTAGCTGTTAAAAAAAAGTACTTTTGCCTGCTAAAGTCTAAAACCTGCTTGAGCAAGTTTTAGATTTTATTCATAAATTTTTGTCGTCAGAAATTAACCTTGATTATGCATGGTGAAAAAAATAAAAAACTTTATAACTAAAAAGCTTTCAAAAATAAAGTAGCCATTATATATGATTCAGTGAAAATTAGTTTAATGATTAACTGGATTTTGAAAGAATATATTACTTTTTGCATAAAATATTTTGAAAAAAATATTTGTTTACATTGGATGTCTGTTACTTGTCAACTCAGCTTAAAAATCAAGCAAATATTCATTCACCTTTCCTAACTTAATGGTGATGAAAGCCCACTTAAATTTATGAGCATCTCATGGGACAATTGAAGTATGGATAACTGAAAATAACAAACTATGATATTACTCATAATGACAAAAGTATAATCTCAAGGTTAACACAGTTATATGATAGACTATACCAGTATATTTTATGTAAGTCTGTCTGATAATTCAAATATAAACAAATATTTTGAAGAGTCTTGGCTCATATTAGATTGTATTTGATACAAGAAAGAAGCATTTCAATATCAACTTCAATGTTACCATATTTAGCTATTATTTGAAGTGCTAAATAAAGTTTTGTTCATTCATTTTTGTAAGTTATCTAAAACTGGTTATTTTAACTGAGCTTTATCTTTCATGGTATTTTTCTCTTAAAAAAATCTATGAATGTTCAAAAAATACTCCTTGTGTATAGAAATATATTTAAAGGAAATTAAAAGAATATCTCATTCAAAATAATTTTGGTAGAAAACCAATAAAAAATTATTAAAGAAAATAAATTTTTAAAATAGTGTTATTTTCTTTTATAATCTTTTTCTTTTTGTAATTTTCTTTTCTTAATTTTTAATAAAAATACAAAGCAATGAAGTTGTACTTTTTTTTTATGACAGATGTGTTCTACAAGTTCAAAACATTTCACTAAAATGGGTGATGTTCTTTCAGCATCCAGGTTTGTAAATGTTTTATTTTTCTTTTAATTTTGTTTTAATTTTCATGTTTTTGGTTCTTAATCTTAAGAATGACAGTTTCTTTAATGCATATACTATTTTTCTTGTTTGTACAGGTTCCAGAAACTAGAACAGGGTTGCACTAAAGATTTGGATTCTTTAAAGAATGCTCATAAACACGGTGATCCAGTACCAAGGTTCCATTATGAAACAAAAACTTTTAGTATGGTTCAGTAAGTATCAATATTATAACTATTATTACTACTATTTTTTTTTAGGTTGGATAATTTGAAATTGTCAATTCTACTTTTAAGAGATGAAAATGGAACATATTAGACTGTACCTTATGAATTGTCAGATTCATTATTTGATACCATCAAGATGAAGTTAAATAGGTGTGTGTTGTATGATTTACTAACTATTCTTTTGTTGTATCTCTTTCCAATATGTTCATCATAAACTTCATTGTTTTTACCTTGAAAAATGTTTGTGGCTCAAATATGACTACTCTTTCTGTTGTGTTTACATTGAGGCAAAATGCAGTTGCAACTATAAGAAATTTGAATTTGATATTTCCAGAAAGAATTTCTAACAAGCAAATAATGTAACTTTGGAAATTTCATCCTGGAGATAATTCTTCAAAAATGTCAATTGCAATGTCAATTGTCATCTCTCTTTCAAATTTTATTTCTTTTATTGTCCTTTCTTTTCAAGAACATTTTCTATGTTTCTTTCACAGTCACTATACCCTTGCTTGGAGTGAAATGATTAAAATGAATAAATAAAAATATTCAAAATAAGAGTCAAGTAAAACTGAAATACATAATCAACATCTATGTATTGAGAAAAATTGTGGAAAATAACCTACGAACATAATTCATGTTTTCTGAGAAAATTTTGGAGTTTCTAATCATTTGCAATAGGAAAAATTAAGCAAATGGATTCCATATAAATTAACAGAAAAATTTCTTACATTCACCTTAATTTTTTAGTTGCTTTTTATTGTACCTTTACTCAGTCTGTTAGTCTATGGCAGTGAATAGAGAATGAAAAATGGAAATAAAAGATAAGTCATAAGCTTTCAGTGTGATTTGAACTTGCTTCTCTTTTTGCCTCTAGGAACCCTGGTAAATGTCCGCCTTTTTTAACACCTAAGGTTCAAGAACTTGATGGCTTTGCAAAAAAACGAATCTAACCTGTGATGCTTCATCTAATAAAATAGGAATAATAAAGTTGCAAGAAAATTTGTTTGTTTTAAAATATACTTATTAATGATTACACATTATCTCCTTTCTGAAACATGATATTAATTATGATAAATCCTTTACAAACATTATTGATAGTTTAATTAGAAAAAAATATTATTTTTTCACTTAAAATAGTTTTACTCCTCTTTATCAAAAGCTTACTTTTCATGTGATACATTTGAATATGAAATGGTATAAATTTAATTGATAAAAGGAAAGTAGGGATCTATTTATTTGTATACATTATTTTAATAAAAGGACTTTTTTTGATTAATTTCTGATTACAATGAAATTGTATTATGAAACAGCTGACATACCTGAAGATTTAAAAGGAAAAAAGTGGTGTCACAAATCTGTTAAAAGCTCATATACACTTTAGCATTGGATTGCATGAAATTAAGAGATAATGTTTTGCATTTTGTGTCATAAAATGTTAAATAAAATAAGCAAAAATTGAATACTTCAAAATTCATTTATATATATTGAATATATTAAATATAAACATTTAAAACATCAAGTTGACTCAAAATAACCATTTACTTGTATTAGTTGAAATAAAATTGGTAGTAAATTTCAAAAATGTCTTTTGTCTGTTTTATCAGATGTAACAGTGAACTTGGTGATAATGATTTGGAGCTAACCATTGTCCGAGGGATAAAATTTAACTTGCCTAGTGGTAAGTATTTTTTTTTTTTTTCAAATTCAGTTAAATCAGTTTTGATTTGAGCCCCCAAAACTAAAGCATAGGGTTTGTATGTTTTTTAAATAACTTTTTTTTTCTTAATAAATTCATAATAAAAATCATTTTTGGAATCTCACACCTGTAGCTTTACTTTTAAGTTATCTCTGCACCTGTTACCAAATTTGTTTGTAGTGAATGTCAGACAATGTCAGAGTGAGTGTTGTTTTGATATAACTGAGCATTTTCAGTAAAGAGAAATTGTTTTTAATAGCTGAAATAAAAAGCAAAGCAAATTTGAACCATTCCTTCTAACAAGTTTAAATAATTTATACATTTTTATTACTGTTTACTTATTGTATATACAAAAAGCAAAATATTGTTATTACTTGCCACTGAATAAATGAATAATTATTAGATTTTTCAGTACTTACTTATAAAGTAGTGCTGAAAAGTTCTTGACCTGACCCACTTCCTAAAATCTAACCAAATAACCAAACACTAGATTTATTTTTGAAAAGACATTGATCAGATCAAGAACTTTTTGGCACCACCTCATAGATACAAATGTTAAGTAATGAGATAATAATGTTGTCTGAATTTTGTTTTGATACATTATTATTATTCATATTTGACAAAATTTGTTCTCCTTAGCCTTTTGGCTAGGATCTGTAAGACAAATCATAAATGATATATATATCTGGTTCCTTGCAATCTATCTCTCAGACAGCACCTCCCTCTTGAACTAGCAAGATAGGGTTAGAGGTATGTCCTTACACTAATGGTAAAAACCAATGGAACAGGGCTATTTTTGTTACTTTTCACACATGTGTATGGAGTCCTCACATTAAACTGATTTTGTGTCATCTCTGCCCTCATGTGAAAGTAAATAAATACTATCTTGTTTTCTTAACAATGCTTAAATAAGGTGGAAGAAAACCTAGTAAATTGTGATGAGGATTTTGTAGATCTGTTTTTTTTATGTCTGAAAATCTTAAATATTTACTGCATTTTTTCTTTTAAAGCGATGGATGGAAAGATAAAGCCATTAATAGTTATTAATTTTAAAATGTTAAGTATTTAAAATTTTATTTAGTGAAATGACTTTCTGTATTCAATCTTAATACTACAGATGTTTTTATAAATTTGACAGAAGCTAAATGTGTTTATTTGTAAATGTATGAAGTAATCTTTTTTATATATAAAAATTTGATAACTAAATTTACTGGTTATTGGCTTAAGTAACAATTATTAGAAAAATAGTTGTAAAAGATTTAACCATTTGGTTATGTCAGATTTTTACTTGTAATAAAAATGTAATTAGGATATTTTTATGTTCACGTGAATCGAGTAATAGAGAATAAGTTTAAATTTCTGTGGAATCGACAATTGTTGAGAATTTTGGATATGAAAAGACAAAAGTGAAAGGAACAATGAAAATGTTTCAAACTCAACAAAGCTTTCAGGTCAGTACATTGACCTGTGTAAAAGATTTGTCATCAAGCGATCTTAAAAATGCAATTTGTTGAGCTGGGATAAAACTTGATTTATATGCGAACCTGAGAAATAAATGGTCATTAGTTGAATCAAGTATATTTGTGGAATGAAAAATATGAGCTGTAGATAAAGAATCTATAAGAAGAAATTTAATAACACCTGTGGAGAATTAATTGCATTTATTGTGTTTAATGGCATTCCATATACATTTAATATTACAGTATCATGTAGTTAGATTGGATACAAGTGCTGGTAGTCTACAACAGTTGGGTAAACATTAGCTTTCTAGGTACCTCAATTTCACTTATAAGATGCAAGGGAAATTTTCTGAGCCATTTAATTTTTTTTCTTTAAAGAATAATGTCTTACATGCCACCAAATATGCCAATTTTAAAGATCTTGTACAATATTCTACATTCAAAATATTTGCTTTAAAAATGCTGCAAATTATTTTTATGATTATTTTTCTTTTTTTTACAGCAAGACCACCTTGTATCATATAACATCTCTACATTATTTTCATTACCATTTAATTGCTATATTTCTTTTCAGAAAATAGATGCTTTATGTCATAGGAATCATATTAGTATTGTTTTTTATAATATATATTTTAAATCAATTTCAGGTTATGCACCAAAAGATCTGGATACTTACATAAAATTTGAATTTCCATTCCCAAGTGTAAGTAAAATAAATCTCTTCAAATATTGAATAACCTTTTACAAAAAGACACCTACCTTAGGTAGTTATTTTGACTGCATATAAACAAATATATTAGATATAGTAATGTATAAAGAAAAATTGTGAGGGAATAAATTAGACATTAATTATTTCTATCTTTACCTATTTTTCTTTTATTTTGATATTCTATTACATAGTGGCATACTTAACCACTATCACATTAATGATAGTTTTTCTTATTTTAAAGGATGATCCTCAGACACACACTACAGAAACCGTAAAGAATACAGATTCACCTGGTAAGATAAAAATCTTTTGTAAATTCAACATTCAAATAAATAGTTTACTAAAACTTAATATAAATGTTTCTTGTTTTTTGTTATATACTCTTATGTATTGCATATGATTTGTATTTCAAGTTGCCACTAAATACTTTGTTACATTTTTGTTCTTGTTAAGATTACATATGAGAACATTATTCACAGGATTTGTTTTTACCAATTTTTTTAAATATGTAAATAATTGCCTTTGTTTAACAAACCCATATTGCCATGATAGTATAAACCCTTCTTTGTAATTGTTAAGAGGCAGATTAAAAACAGTGTTTTGCTATATGAGGAGGTTATGAAAAATTTCAGTCTGACTTAAATCCATGTTTCAGTAGACATGCATTAAAATACTTATTTTTGAAAGTGAATTAAACAGAATTTTTTGGCACCCACTTTCATACATTATAAAAAAAAGAAATAACTCTAGACATAATGAGTTATGTTTTGGCATGTTACCTTATTTTATTTCTTGACAGGATAAAAATTGAAAAGTAACATTTTTGGTTTATTATCTTCAGTTTTTAAATGCTTTGTTTTCTCCATTTTAGAATATGGTGAATCATTTAAATTAAATATTAATCGACGGTCAAGAGCCTTGCTTCGAGTATTTGAAAAAAAATCAATGAAATTAGAAGTTTATTATCGACGGTAAGTTACAAATTTATTTTTTTTGTTAACTTTCCAAATATGGAGAATTAGTAGATCAGATTCATTTCATATTATATATATTATTTTATCTATTTAAAATTATGGATTATATAAAATAATATTTTAATTTTAAAAATCATAAACATTAGTTTTAAATTTTTTTTTGTCTTTGTATATAAGTTAGTACAGACTAACTTGTTAATCTTTTATTTTACCACATCCAGCCTTTTTAATGTATCTAGGATGTAGAATGTTGCATGTTGCTCTGACAGAGCATGTGCTTCCTTCCTCTCTCATATGCATTACATCTAATGGCTGGGTTTTGTTATCTTCTGAACTATGTGCTGAGCCCATGAAAGATAGCCCTTACACTTGGGTTATTCTTCTGGAACCTCTAAGTCATCACTTATAGATCTTATTAATGTTTACTTTAACTATCTAGCAATTACAAGGTTGGTAATAAGTTTCTAAATTACTCCTGCTTGTTATTTTCAGATAAATTCAGATATTTTTATTTTATCAAATGATGTAGATAGTGTTTTTTGTACACATAAACAAACATGTCAGTAGAGAATATTATCAAATGATAAAATCATCTGAGCTGTGCAGTTACAGATAAAAAATATTTACTTCAGTATTTACCTGATGAAATGTACACCAGGCTGATCCCATAACTGGAAAATCTGACATTGTTTAAGGTAGATCCAGCTGGTTTCCTTGAATGTTTCCTAACCCAGGTTGAGTGTTGGGTTCATCACCGAGTCAGAGACGAAGAGGGCAATGTCATTTCATCTGCAGGAAAGGTGATGGCTGCAGTTTTTTTTTTGGGGGGGGGGTGCAAAAAGCATTTTTTTTATTGATTATCTTCAAAAGGACCAAACCATCAAAACCACTGTGCTAACTTGCTGAGACAGTTACAAAAGGCTATCAAAACCAGACGCTCAGGGAAACTGACAAAAGTGGTTTTGTTTCATCAGAACAACACTCTCGTACACAAATCCTTGGTTTCAATGGCTGCTGTGCATGACTGTGGCTTTGAGCTGGTTGATCACCCACTCTATTCTCCTGATTTGACCCCATCTGGCTGATTGTTCCCCAGCATGAAAAAAAAAACTTGGCTGGGAACCAGTATCACACTTATGATAAATGACTTTTTTGATCAACAGGATGAAAGCTCCTTCACCAATGAGATTCAGTTACTGCAATACTAGTGAAAGAAGTGTGTGTGCAAGGGGGACTATTTTGAAAAATGAACCTCATTTGGTCACATTCCATGAGGGTATCTTGGTCAGCCTATGAGCATTTCAGCCAACCCATGTTTGTTATTTCTTGGTAGTATATTAAATTATCTAACTTAAGTATGTTTTAAAACCAACTACATTTTCTTCTTACAATATGTGCAAATGTATTTGTTTTTCCACTTGAACCACTATGATTAAGTTATAGCTGTAATATATAAAAGATATTGTTGGAAATACTTCAATAGTAAAGGGAAATTAACATCTCCCTTTACTATTGAAATATTTCCAACAATATCTTTTTAAATATTAGGGCTTATTAATTAATAATAATTTCTCAAGTGGGAAAAAAACAAAGAATTTAAAAAAAGATGTAACTAAATTTATGAACATAGATACTGTTTATCATAATAGTGTTATTTTTACTTGTATTTCTATTGCATATATCCATAAAAAATGAGCTAAAATTGTTGAATCTTTCTTGATTTATACATAAATGTTGACATGTCTATATGTATGAGAATATATTTTTCATTTTAGAAGTGATTCATTAAGAAAAGGCTATTAATAAATGTGGTAAACATAGAATTTAGGCAACAGGGATTGTGGATTTCTATTAAATAAAGTTGGTTAAAAGAGCAAGCAGACTGTATAAAATTAAGTTCTGAACTATTTACAGCCTATTTCTTGTGAACATAGTAAAACGTTTGGTTTCAATGCAAAATACTTACAAAATAATTTCAAATTTTAACTGACTTTGATTTAATTGTTAATCTCTTGATGTTTTTAGAAGATTCACTTGAGTTTACTTCTACTAAGAGAGGCTTGCAAATTAAGATTATTGCAATTCAAGACTATAATAATTGCTTAGCACCTCAAAACTGTGAGTGTGTGCAAATGTTCTCAGTGCCTACTTTTTATAAAAATATAGACAATTGAATACACAATAAAAAAAAAAGGGAAAAAAAGGGGGCATTCTTGTAATGAAACTTCTGGTAACTTTTGTATGTGCCTAATAAGTCTAAGTAGGAATGTTTAATAATGTACATTTAAAAAAAAAAGCTTGTGCATAGAAATTATTTTTTCTTTCAATGAGATCATTTGGCATTATTTTCATTAAACATTAAAAATGCTGTATCTGGTAAGAATATATGAATTTAAAATTTTTGCACATTGATGCAGGTTCATGTAAAATTTAATTCTAAATACAATTGTATAAATGCTTTAAGAAACACTTTTGAGATATATTGACAAAGTAATATTACTAACTTGTATAAATCTGATATTGAGAAATATTAATTTAGACAATTTGATACATCCTTCATAGAATAACATTAAAAGATCATTAGAGAGTAAATTAATGAGAATAAGGATTAATTAATCTCTTTTTTTTTTAATGTTAAAAACTTCATAAGCAATTTTCTGGAATGATTCAGGATAATCTAAAATTAATCAGTCTTTACTCCAAAAGTTTTATACATGGTAATATACACAGCCTTTTCCCAGATATAAATGGTGCTTAAGATGTGAAACAGTTTCCTCATGGAAAGAACACATTGGTAGAAGAAAGATTTTTCTCTTTCCTGGTGGAATAATGATGTGTTAAATGTCCAGTAAGATCAGGGAAATATTGAATAACTTGACAGATAAAAGATTTGTTTAGATTCCATAAACTTGTGTGTATATATATATATATATATATATATATATATATATATATATATATATATATAATAAAGAGATAAAATTGTTTAAAATTTACTTTATTGTGAAGAGTGCTCCATATCAGAGATAGAGCATTTGTAAATAGTGTGGACATTGGAATCAACACTGCATTGTAACTGTTTCATGCCTTGTGTAATATTCAGACTATGAACTACATACACACAAGTGTGTGTGTGTGTATATATATATATATATATATATATATATAATAAGACAGCAGTGTGAAGATAAAGAGTTTTATTTCTGCTGTAGAATGAATTTGCAAGAATAAAGAGAGTTTACATTTAATAACTGTCTTTCAAGCAATTTTTTTATTTTCCTTTGATCTCTCATTTATTTTTTTTATCTTCACTTCTGCTTTCAACCCTTTTCCTGTGTCATTGGTGTAGCTTTCTGGCTTTGTTATCATTCACTTTATGCATTACTAATATTGTCATCACAAATGAGTTTGACATGGTGAGATAAGGTATTATTATAATTCAGCAATCTAGACTTATTATTTTAAACTCATTTCAACCATTCTCTTGTCTTTTAAAAGCTAGCAAATATATAACTTATTAATATTTTAAATTTGTAAATGAAGCAAAACCTCCATTCTGGACACTTAAATTCATCTATTTTCATTTTTATTTTAAACTGAAATCTGTTGAAGTAGTTAGCACCAATTTATTACTGTGTGTGTGTGTGTGTGTGTTGCATCTCCAATGGATTAAATAATGTTTGTGTTGGTCACACCACAAACTCGCTTTCACAATGCTTAACTCTAACATTTTTATGCATTTAAAACAACATGCCTGACCCCGTACACAATTCCGGAAAATCCTCGTTGAAAACACAACTATACTTAAACTTGAAGCTATATACATAAAACAGTTGAAACCTAACCTGAACAAAATAAACTACGAAATCTCCACAAATATTCTTAAATGCCTATAATTGATAACTGAAGCCATTGGTTTATATCAACAGCTTCCCATACTTAAAACTTCTCGTTTTCACTCTCGCGTGGTCATGTGTGATGTCATGAGCTGCGATGTGATTTTTGCTTCCACGTCTTGTATAGACGAGTTTGTCGTTGCTTTGAAATTTTTCATGCAACAAAAACAGACTATCATTATTGTTTCATCCATTTGTTTGATATATTGAAATGTAATCGTCATCTTTGATAATGGCTTATGTAAGCCGAAAGCTTAGATTGGATTATAAAAATGTATCAATACGGTGATTCCCTTTCATCTTTCAATGATAATGTTATTAAGCTTATCAGACAATATGAAAGGAACTTACTTAAAATAAATAGACACAATGTGTCTATATTATTTAATGAAACATGCACCAATATATATATATATATATATATTGAAAAGTGATTATGAAGGCAGGTTTCCTATGAATTTTGAACTGTTTTCCATTGGTCTTTTCCTCAACTTATAGTCACTTAATTTCAGTTTTATGATTTTTTTATACTCTAATGACTTTTTTGGTATAAAGAATATTAAAAAATAATATAGCTTAGAAATTATATTAATATTAAAAATACTTTTAAAAAGTTTAATTGAAATTTTTAGTAAAAGAAAATTTTATTTTTATTATATATTTCTGAGTATGTAAAAAAAAATGTTTTCCTGTCTTGGCTCTAGATTTTTAAAAGTTAAATCAGAGGATTTACCTGTTCAGCCAGTATCTTTCAATTAACACTTATTTCTGCATTGTTGCCTCACTGTGCTGGCCTGTTTGGGGAAAAATAGGAAATTACCATTTATTGTGAATAAATTATTATAAAAGCTCTGACGGTGATTTCTCATGTGCACTGGCATTTTGGTTTCAAGCGGTTACAACACAATTCCAACAGCAAAATAAAAATGTCATGTTGTCATATTGCATGTTACTAAATGTTTATGCTGGTTTGGAAATAGCTCTAAGCATTAGTTACTTTATAACCCAAATATTAATATTAAGGACCAACATTTCATGGCGTCTTGAACATACATACATACACGTGTGTGTGTTACGGCAATGTGTTAATAACTATATTGG